TTTACATAGCACGTTTTTATCGCGAGCCTTCAATGTTGAAGATATTTTTTTGCAGATGTATCTATCTTACGTTTCACTGTCTTTTCATCAAATTTTTTTATAGGAAATTGCAAATTACGGAATCTCATTTTTTTCATTATTTTTTTTTAGAGTAAATTTACACGTAGATCCAATTCAATAAGGAAATTTTTTTTTTTGCATGGTAGTTTAGTGTTCTAAGCACAAGTTATCTCTAATTTTTTTTTGTATTGTTGTGTGAACAAGGTGTTGCTCGGCCAGGATCGTGTCCCTCGCCGTGGAAGGGCTCAAATGGGTATTGCGATAAACGCGGATTTTTTTGCTTCATGGATTCTGACTGTAGAGTTGATAGCCACAAATGCTTTTTTTATGGTTGCCAAAAAGATTGTGTCGCACCAGGATTCAAACCATTTTTTTAACAAGAGCCTGATGGACGATGCCCTAAGCCATGGAAGGACTTTTTTTTCTGTGATAGGATGGGTGATAAATGTAGGGACGAGTCGGATTTTTTTTGCAACTACCGATGTTGTTTCAATGGATGTCAGAAGGACTGTTTTTTTTCAGGTAAGACAAAGACACGGCCGCAATGCCGGTAATACTCCTTTTTTTAGATGTTATTTGCGCAGCCTTAACCTCGAAAGCATGTAATGTTTTTTTTTACTCAGAAAGGATGCTATTGTAGTGCAAACACTATCTGTTTTTTTTAGACAATAAAAATGTATGCTTGATCATGTTGATTGAAGCTATTTTTTTACACAAGACAATTCGAAGAGTATTGATATACGGTATGAACCTTTTTTTCTTATTTCAACAATGTACGGTGACTTGTGTTTATACGCCTGTTTTTTTTTTTGTTTTTGTTTTGTTGTTTGTTTTTTATTAATGTGTTTTTTTTTTGATTCTCCACACGCAACTGTTGTTGTTTTGCTGTCGCTACTTTTTTTTCTTTTGATCTTGCTGTTCCTGACCATCAACATCTTCGAACCGTTTTTCCCACTGGGTGGATTGACGGCTGATTGTAGTTTATATACGGTTTTTCAAGTAAATGACGTTAGCGGTCTTTATAGGTTGTTTTCGTATTTTTTTTTTCGATTTGTTGCAAATTTGAAAAAAGAGTCTCGATGTTATGATTTTTTTATAAGGTTGATTATAATAATTTCCGTTTCAGTCAATCTTACTTTTTTTCAAGTCGAAAGACAAAAGGCTCGCGATCAATTGGCTGATGAGCTTCCTCCTGTTGGTGTGTATGTCCCAACCTGCGAGAAGAATGGGTATTTTTTTAAGAAGCAATGCCACGATGCATTAGGCGAATGTTGGTGTGTTTTTTTTATTGGACATGAAATTAGTGAAACAAGAAGATCTGGACCACTTTTTTTTTCCAGTATTGGTTAGTATTGGAAGCAACAGCGATACTATCGTTTTTTTCATGGAATCCCAAGAAATTGTAGATGAAGTCCATAATTTGTTTTTT